CAAATGTTTAAGAAAGAATAAAAAGTTAAAAAAAATTAAATAAATAATATAAAATAAAAACATACAAAAAGATAATTAATTATCTTTTTTGTACATCTTTTTGACATGTAAGATTATTTTGAAGTAATGTACTTTTTGGGGAAAATATATGAATAAAAAAAAAATTATAAAAGACAAAAAAATAAAATAAAAACATACAAAAAATTAAGCTAATACATTACTGTAACAGAGAAAGAAAATATTAAGACTAAATTATTATACAATAAAAAGATAGAAAAAAATTGTCACTGGGGTTGCTGTCTTATTTCAAAACACTTCTTTAGGTACCTTGCTACAGGGAGTATTAGACCACTGTTGTTTAGCAAGACTATGAATTGTGTCTTTGGTGACAAATTTTGGTTTTTGCCATTTCAAATAATACATTTCTATAGGGGGTATATCTTTTGCATGACATCATTAGGTGATACTCCTTTTCTACTTGAGTCTGATCACAAAGGTTGCATAATCTATTAGCAAGGGGTATTCCGTTGTGTCTGTCAGTCTCAGTTTTCAAGTTATGGTCACTGAGGCGGAATTGTTTAAATTTTCGCGCATCTCAATATTTTACAGGGTAACAAGATAGGTTTCAAAAGCAAAATTGTTTTTTAATTCTCTGTATGTTCTTAATTTATTTATATTTCATTTTGGTTTGATTGATTGTCGTTTTGTAATTCACTTTTCCAAGTTGATATAAATGTATATTTTTATTAATTTGTCCTAATTGCCTTGTTGTTAGAATTTCATTGTTGTCAAACAGGTTAGACTGGTTGATGTTATTCAAAAGGGAGTCTACTATTTACTATTAATTTCTTAATATTAATAATTTACTATTAAACTCAAAAACATCGTAATGTTATTACTTCTACACCGGGTAACACCAATTAAAACCAACATCAATTTAGAATTACTGTGGCCAATGACATTGAAATTTGCTCTTCCATAAAGCAGCAGTTTCCCTTTTCTAATAATCAAAACTACCCTTGATACCCTGGAGAAGTATGTCCATTGTTTCACAACAACGACTGTCCCAAGAGATTTTCGTCTTCTCAATTTCTCAAGATAAACGTCCAAGGGTTGTTTTGTTTACTAGAAGGAAATGTCCTTTGACAGCATTTCTTGAATTAATTTCCGTTGCACAAAAAAGCAGCAAATACTCTTACTGAAGCACAGAATTGGCATGATTTTTCCCCCGGCCATTCACGCAAACTGCAAATCAAGACTTTTACCGCATCCATAGTTGTTGACACTGAGCCGATGGATGATGATGGATGTATTGTGACGTATTTTGACCCCCGGATTCTGACCTTGCATTCTTGTCACATTTACTGCCCTTTCATACCCGTTCAATTCCTTTCATTATTTCATCCAGATTCCATGATATTTTATATTTAAAACCAACCTTTATTTCACAGTCACTCAAGTTTTCACTTTTCTAAAATTATCTTACTGAACAAAAGACTGTTCACTCCCATCATGCAATCTCTCATAGTACTTCCGCAGACACAGCGGCGATCGCCAACATATCTACAAATACCTCGCTCTCAGAAGCTGAGGAATAACAAGTTTTATTGAGTGTTATCAGAGATTTTTTTTTTACTTTCAGGTTCTTGCTGTTTTTTTTTTGTTTTACGGTGTTGGGATGTGCCTGCCCTTAACGTTTGCAAAATAAAGCACCATTTAGTATTCACCGCCAAATATCAGTCTCCTTTGTGTTTAACTATTTTTATGTGACACAGCTCCATACAAAAAAATAAGTCAGACGACATACGGATCACAACAACATGGACACAATTCACTTAGATGCTGCCAAAAAAACAGTAGACAGTATTCTGCATTCGGCCATTGGTAGTATACACCCCCCCCCCCCCCTGTTGACACCTGGTTGACATTTCATAAGTCATTGACACCGGCATGATAGCCCGGCTTATCCAAACCATCCACGTATTGAAATAACTCCTTTCTATCGTTGTCTGGTCGACACATGTATTGGAGCATACTATAAACAGGTAACACAAATATGCTTATTAACGTAATTTGAGTTTAATTTGAGTTTAATTTGTATTTACTTGTTTTTGTCTATGTATCAAATTTCGCCTTGTTTGTACATTCATTGAGTAGGCCCGGACAGACTGAAGCTTAGCGTTTGGGTTGACCTTAAATGAAGGCAAACTGATATATAATTCCAGCCTGAAAGCGGAATGACCAGTTACTTGAATATATTTGAAATTTTTGTTTCCCGTGAATAAAAAAACAAACAAATTACATTCAAACGGAATGTGACGGTCGTGAGTGGAAACGTTCTTTTTTTTTCTTTTTTTTTTTTTTGTACCAAAAGCCATCTTGGGAAAACAACATCACGCCGGTATACATGCACATTGGACTTGCTCATAATGGACGCAACATTTGTACCTAATGTTAAGACACTGGCTAAGTCTCCGTAGTTCAAACGACTTGCGCAACGTGGTTTTTAAAGGTCGGTGAGCGTGGCACAAATGCCATTTATTTCAGACGCGGGCACAACACTGGTCGTGCACACATATATGCCTGCTGAGTAGAAAAGGGCAAAAATTTACCGTATTTCATAGAGTCCAGGACAGAGAATTCGAGTCACTCTGGACAGCACCAGTTATCTTACCATACTGGCAGACTGGAATATAATGCATTACACGGCCATATGGACTCTGTGAAACACAGATAATGACGTATTTGTTGGACACACTAGACGCCTTCAAATAAGTACAACGTCAACCTGTCATTATTAAATACGATTAGTGTAAAAATATTATAATAGCTCATGAACAATCTTTATGTTATCCCAACTCTGCGACTGCCCGGAAAACGGC